TGGTGAACTGTGCCCAAATCCATCAGGCCTCAAGAAGAAGTTCAAAGTATAACTGGGGATTGCATCTCTCACTCAAGGGGCAGCCAACAGAAACAAAACCAGAGTAGGTTGGATGACTCTCTGGTAGCACAAATCCACGGGCTGCCACTGTGCTCCAAACAGCTCTGCAAGTGGCAGAGAAGCCTCTGACCAGTCTACAGGACAAAAGATGACACAGAGTAAGGACACCATGTGCTTTCAGTGGCACAGCTGATGAAGGGCTAGTTTTATCAAAAACTCTGTAAACTTACCAATATATCATTAAGGTGGATGAATGGTAACACGGTTCAACAGAGCTGATAATCCTTTGCCTGTGGTGCAGTTGCAGAGGGTATAACATTTTCTGGAGATGGTAGAAGGGACTCTGGATGCACCATATGGTCTCTTCCAGCCCTTGCACTGCGCTGGGGCTCGTGCTCTCATGTGACACACCATTAGCAAGTCACATGCAGCAGAAAGCAATTTTATGGCCAGATCCTGCTCTTAGAAGCTATGATGACTAAACTAGCTTAATCAAATCAGCATAAATTTGCAAACACCGTTTTAGCAGCTGTGACCGTAAATATCATCAGCAGAATGTGAATAATCCTGAGCACAAGATGAGTTGAGTAATGGGTTCCCAATGGGCGTTGAAGCCATCAGCCCTGCTGCCTGGCAACTCGGAGACGGGGGCGAGGGGGGGAGGCTTGATTATGATGAGCCTGAAGCAGCAGATGCAGTTATCACGACAAAGCAGCTAGAGCACATGCACCAGCAAGAGGGGGGGAAAAAAAAGAAAAAAAACATTTACTGAGACAAATAATTGTGGTGGATGTCCTGTTCTCACCCTGCTGTCTCCCAAATGCAGGCACATGTGCCTGTTCCACGTGGAGAGATGCGTTTTAGCATTCCCAGAGTGACTCATTTGGCATTTTCCAGGGACCCGCAGTATAGTCCCTGCACACACGTACCATTTTGTCAACAAGCCATAAATATAATCAGCTGAGGTGAAATTCACCCTGAACACAGACACCAAGGCTAAATTTGTTTTTAATTTGTGCCAGCTTCTGCTAATGGGAGCCAGGGTGCAGGGCTCCTGGCACTGACAAAAGGGAGGGGGGCAAAGATGCCGAAAGTAACAGGACGCATCAGTCTCAGCCTCCCCTCTGGTGGGGACCAGCCATGCACGTGGTCCCAGAGCAGATGGAGCAGGCTGGAGTGGGCATGGCCAGAGTGGAAGGTCTATCCCATGAACTGCTCTGCCAAGGGCCCTGGGGAGAAGGTGGCTGGAAACACAGCCAGCTTCTCCCCTAGCAAAGCACTTTAGCAAGGGAAGTGGCTTTTGCAGCTCAGAAAAGTGAATATAACTCCCTGCACCTGCCAGCGTGAGCTGGTTCAGCCATATTTATATATGTAATTATTTTGTTGCAAAAAAAACATGGGAAAAAGAGCTATTATGATGTCTCAGTTTTAATGGCTTTTTGTAGGCTGTTAAAACTGCTCAGCTATCATGGATCATATCCTGGTCTGATGATGATATCCCACCTCAGTGCGAAGCCTCCCATCAGAATCTAGAGGGCAGGAGAAATATAGTATTGCAACTTGCACTAAGTTGTGTAAAGGTAACTTGTGTTTGCTGGAGTCATCAAAATCTACTGCAGAAAAGGCTTAAGAATGGTACCTCTACAGAACAATCATCACAGCTCATGCTGATAACGCAGCCTCACTAGTTTTAGTCTAAATTAAGCCTCACTAGTGAAGTCTAAAACTTTAGCTGAGCTTGAAAGCTGAGCTGAGGTAGTGTAGAAACCAAAGTGAATGAAGAATGTGAATTTTTCCCAGCTTCCAAGGAGCTGTCAGCCCAACTTGGGCTTCACCTCACCACAACCAGGCATGTTGCTTGGAGTACCAAGTATGTAGATACCCTAGGCTGCTAGTTTAAAGCTTCCATACATACTAATGAACGGTCACTGTGAATTTTGTGTTTACTTAGATCTGGTAATATTTAGCTATCAAGCATTTACAAAAGACTAAGCTGTGCCCAGAAAAAAAGGACAACCTTTCTGAGTTCATAAATTTGGGGATTTGAAGATACAGACTAAGTCAGCAGCTGTAGTGGATCACGCAAATGAACATGATGGGTTTAGTGCTTAGAAAATTGACATAAAAGCTGAAAAACAAAACAAAACTCTTCCCTGGCCAAGAAGCAAAAGGAAAAGTGACAGAGCATCCTGACATGCTGATGGAGAACATCAAAGACAAGGGTGGTGCCAGGTGCTGGTTCCTCAGATCACAGCAGTCTCAGCTGATGCCAGGAAACCTTGTACAAGCACTGGCACTGTGCACAGGGAGCGTCTCAGTAAATATGTGGAAACACCCATAATAAGAACAGGAATATATCAGAAGCAAATGCAGGGGATCTAGCTACCTCCCATACCAGCACTTAAGGTGTGTCCCTCAGCAGCTTTCCCTGGAGAATGTCTGTGGTTTCATTTGCTTTGATTTTTTTCTCACTTGTGCAGCATTTTAAATAACCCCTTTCCTCCTAAAGGGGAGTTTCTGTCCACTGCAGCTGCCTCAGCTGTTAGCTACCTGCTGACCTGAAACACTTCTACAAGACAACTACATGCTGCTGGCACCAGGTGTGGATGAGAAGATGAAGGAAAAAGAGTTGCAGCTCTTGGTGCAGAAAAGGACTGGAGGAAGTCAGAACTGGGGAAAAGCTGGGCTGGAGCAGCAAACATGGCAAAAATATATCTCACAGAATCACAGAATTGTTGGAGTTGGAAGGCACGTCTAGAGATCATCTAGTCCAACTCCCCTGCTAAGGCAGGAGTGCCCAGAACACACTACACTGCATCCAGGCATGTTTTGAATATCTCCAGAGAAGGAGACTCCACAACCTCTCTGGGCAGCCTGTCCCAGTGCTCTGTCACTCTCATAGTAAAGAGGTTCCTTCTCATATTTAAGTGGAACTTCCTTTGTTCCAGCTTGTGCCTATTGCCCGGTGTCCTGTCACTGGCAACTACTGAAAAGAGTCTGGCTCCATCCTCCTTGCACCCAACCCTTCAGATACTTATAGGCATTAATAAGGTCTCTCCTCAGCTTTCTCTTCTAAAGACTAAACTAAAGAGTCAGCCAGAGCACGTAGGTAATTTGGGACATAGGAGTGAGTTTAACCTCTTACACTCAGATGAGCCCAATCTGAAAATATACACCAAGGTCTGGGAAAAAAACAGCACACCCATCCTGAGCCAGACCTATCACTAGTAACCGGTTTCTCATTAAAAAACACACCCCAATTGGAACTCCAGTTACAAAAGCCAGGATGGAGAATTACTGGCAGAACCAGTACAAACTCTGGCACATGGTCTAAAGCCTTTTTTCAAGGTCCAGAAGATTCAAGCTCACTCTCCTCAGAATGTTTCACTGTTGCATCAGCCTCCTCACGCCTGCATGGTGGCTGGGGCCAGAGCCAGTAGGTGCCAACTACAAAAGATTATTCCTTTGCTATTCCTAGTTTGATATGAGACAAAACATACTGGAAATTCTGGAAGAACATCTATTTCCACCAAGCACCCAGCCCAAGCCTCCCAGACCCACAAGCTGTGGGTAATTCAATGAAAAAGCAAGGGAACATCTCAATTCGTAGATGCAGAACTTCTGGCAGCATTTGCTGCTCTTTGCTGTGCACACAGAAACACTGTCCTTTGTGACCCTGTGCACATAACAAATACAGTTAATGGGCTTTCAGGGAGGCAGAAAAGAGCTGTCTTTCCTATATACATTGTTTTTCCTAAGAGACAAAGATGAAGGCTCTGTTCCCCAATTATGAGAATACTTACATTGATTTTAATTTATTAATGTGCTTGTTTGAGGGGGGAAAATATAGTTACTTATTTCTAGTGCAACAGCACATCCTGACCATCTTCCACCCCAAAAGCTGCCACAGGGCCCACGTGACAGGATCCTACCCAGACTGTGGCTGTCAGGTTCATGAGATAACAAAACCTTTCTTCGGTTCTCTGTGCCTTCAGGCAAGGCATGACTTGGAGCAAGCCCACCCACAACAAGCAGCCAGTCTGTGAGGAATAACTTGGCCACAGTGCCATGTGATACCTTCCCCTTCCAGGGGTTTTCAAAGCAAAGCACTGGAACAAGCTCCTCAGGGAAGTGGTCACAGCACGAAGCCTGAGTTGAAGAAGCATTTGGATGATGCTCTCAGGCACATGGTGTGATTCTAGGGGTGCCCTAGACAGGGACAGGAGTTGGACTCCATGATTCTGATGGGTCCCCTCCAACTCAGCATATTCTATGATTCTGTGATTCAGGCATAGAGAAGCTGCTGCACCACAGCAGGGAGGCTGGGCTCCTCTCTGGCTGGACATCACCTGCCCAAATGACTCCCCTTCATTGCCTTCTCTGAACCAAGTCTGACATCCAGCTGAAGTGTGCAGGGACAATTTTTGGTGGGATTACAGCAGCCTCAGACTGCATGGGGTCTGGATATTGCTACATGGCTGCAGGAATATGGTGTATAAAATAATAATTTGTGGTAAGGGATAAGAGCCAAAATCAATGTGACAAACAAAGCATGAGAAAATCTGTTGCTGTTTCTATAGCATGGAAGCAGTAAACAATACAGTGTCTCAATTAGAGTTCCATGTATGATATTTCCCATACTCTCATGCCTGTAAGGCCAGTACCACAGCTGGTCCCATCAAGGCAGATGGGGAAATGAGCAGAGCAAACCTGGGTCCATCTACCCTGCCAGCAGAGACCTCCCTTGGGAGCTGTGTCTGATGAGAGGTTTACAACCAGAGTTCAAAGATAAACTTAAATGAGGTGACAGTTCACCTCAAAGTGCCACAAACCCTTGCAGTTTAGGAAGCAGCTGCACAGGCCTCCTCACAGCAGGGTGGGCACCTCCAGGAGGGGCAGGGAGTAGGGCTGAGGGCAGGACTGTTTTTGGACAGGTCACGATGGACCTCACGAAGGAGCTGGTAAGTCAGAGCCCTTCATTTCCCACATCAAACCTCTTGTGAGGAGCAGGATGGCTTCTTCTGCTCTCTTCCCATCGCTGTTACTGGGGAGCATGCAACAGGGGGATTAATTCTGGATAAATCCCATTGCCAGAAAGGAGATACAAAGTATTCTTGCAACATCCCAATTAGAAAGAGGTGCATGCAGCAAAGTTATCTGCTTCACACTCCATATTTTTCCTGGCACTTTCCTTCACCTCCATATTTTTCCTGACAACCAGAGCTGGAAGTCCCATGATTTTTTAAATTATAATTATTATTATTAATTTTTTTTTGGTGACCCACTCTGGTTTTCTTTATTTTTTTTTCCTGATAGAGGACCAAGTGACATTTTCAAAGCAGCACATTTGCTCTACACTCACTCAGAAGAAGTTAAGGTCCTGTCTATGTACTTTCCCTCAGAAAACAGCTCCCAGTCTTGTGGCATTAAAAAATTTTAAAAAATCTGATTTCACAGAAGCACAAAGACATAAATTATTTTGAAGCAAGGCCATGTAAAATAACATCTACCATTAAACACAACAGGCTGGAATCAGAGATCCCATCTCTTGATTATATTCATTCCCCAACTGAAGTTTCACCCGAGTTACAGCTGCTGGGTCACATCCATTATTTTCTCACCCATACCATTAAACCAAGCAGACTCACCGGTGGGGCATCTTCAACACATGTGCCAAAGGGTTTGACATTACACATGCTTAATCCTGACGTAAAGGGCTATCTTCTCATAACAGGTATAAATGCACAAGTGCACGCACTGGGGTCACTTGTAATAATCTTTGAGCAGATGTATGGAGATACTGATGTTACTTATCTACCTGTCTGTGCCAGACACGCCTGAGGTTGAACGCAGCCCACGCTCCCGTCTGGCAGGCGCTGGGGCTTGGAGACCAGCACAGACTGCAGGGCTGGGAGCATTTCACCACCAGCAGCACCAGTGCTGCTGTGAGAGGGTCGGGGCTCAGTGAGGCTCGAGAGCATGACAGTTATGCTTCACTCAGGTTAGAAACAATAGGAGTAAAACCAAGCTCGAACACAAGCACGTCTCCACCCAAAGCAAAGCCATATGCAACTCAGCTCAGGAATTAGAACTATGCAGCCAGAGGTTTTCTCTAGTTATTGTTTTGGGTTTGGACTGCAGTGCACAGGGAGGGGAGGAACAAAAAACACAGAGGGTGCGGGAAAGAAGCCGAAAGCCAGGCACAGCTGTGGGAGCCCCAGCCCGACCTCAGGCCCTGGTTTCAGGATGCAAAGCAAGAGGCAGTGATGCTTTCTGCAGGATTCTCTTGTCCTCTGCTGTTCCTGGACCTCAGCTGTACCAGTACAACAGCTTGTGAAACACTGATGTTTGTGTGACACATACGTGCAATATCAACTGATACTGCAATATCAATATCAATTTGATTTGTGCAGGCACCTATCAAATCATCATATTTACTAGACAGCAGAGGAGAGGGTGCATTTCTAAACAGAAACTGTTTTTAAATGAGCAATATCCAATATTATTATTTTCTTCCAGAAAGATACACCTAAGAAGCCTCCAAATTTTTAGCTTGACATTTCTTTTAAACAGATGCAACCTGGAGCATGTTGTGTGCTGGGTGAGACATGCTACAGTTTTTCTTTCCCTCTTGCCCAGATTAAGTTTAACAATTTTCAGCCCAATATACAGACTTTCACCACCACACTAATTCTTTCCCAGACTTGCTAGGAATGCCAGGGCTGTGGAGCAATCAGTGGAGATCCATGGACATTGACCTCTTAATTAACATGCTTCACACAAACTAAAGTCAGAGGTAAGGGATTGCACTCTTGCTGGCTGGCTTTCCTTTCCAGCATCATAGCTAAACTCCCAGCAAACAAAGCAAGATTTCACCAGGTGGAAAGTTAGGTCACTATGTTCCTCATCTCCTCACTACGCACCGTGACACCAGCTCCTAGCTGTTTTGGTGCAGACAGTAGAGACTCAGGGAGCAGTGGTTTTGTAAATAAGCTGATTTGGGTTCAAACTGCCAAGGAAAGGGGTATTTTCACTTCCTCCCCACTCCTGTGCCTATCTTTGTCCTTCTGTTGGTATGAGCATCAGGCAAGCCAGGGAACTGATCCAGCTGGAAACGATCTGTTTCTCTTTTCCCTTTTTGTTGGGTTAGTTTTCAGAAGGATCAGATTCCTAATCTGGCAGATCACTCGAGAGCTGATTTTGGCACCAGAGCAGCACATGACCCAGCAGCACAGACTTAGATCAGCTGAAACCAAGCATAAACCCACACCCACAGAGAACACCCATGGCCCACCCTGTACCCACCCATGCAAAGATCCTCTGTCTGCAGAAGGAAAGAGGATTTTTCCAGGGTACTGTTCTGCTCCTAAAGAGGACGAAGCATATTTCGGGTAGCAGTGAGACATCACCTTCCATCTCTACTTGCTCCACTTGCACCTTCCTTGGGACTGCTCTGCTGCCACTCCTTGGCTCTTTGATAAAGCCCAGGGCTTCACTCTAGCCTTCCTCATGGATCAGTATAACCTGCTTTCAGAAGTACCAGGCCACTTACCCAGGTACATTCTGTCCTCATGGACACTCATGCATTTACCAGCACCCACAGACATGTGAGATAAGCACGTGCATGCCCAGGGCAGATGCATGCAAGCAGAGACCTCAGTTACACCAAAATATTCTGGTTCCCCCCAAGCTGAAGAAATGGGCTGTATTGCTCTGAATCATTACTATCAAGCACAAAGTGTTTCTATGGCTACACCTTCCCCTGCTTTCACTCCTGTATTCAGCAACACATTTACTTTGTCTGTCTGTCTGCCTCTCCCTCACACACACACACACACACACATGAATTAGACATCCCTTCTTTCTTCACTCAGCCACCCACTCTCCACTCCAAATAACACCTCCTCTCCTCCTCCTACACATAGCCTAAAAATCCAGAGTAAATGTTTCTTGAGACCCAGCAGAAGAGGGGGCAAAGGCTTCTGATCCAAACTGATTTCCAGTGTCAGCAACCCCACAGCCAGTCTCCTGAGCCTTCAAGCCTGTTTACAGCAAAGGTGTTTACTGGAGATCTTCAGTGTTATTTATGGTGTCATGAAACCAAAGCAGAATGCAAAGAGCCAGCAGACCCCTTCATCCCCCAAGCCACTCACAAGAGGCTGGAGAGCTGGCATGCTGAGTGATAATAAAGAGGAAAATATCTCCCAGGGATGCTCTAACAAGAAATCTTGCAAAGAAGAGTTCAGCAGTACCTTGGCCTTACGGGGACTTGTTTAGCAGTGTGAAATTAAGATATTGGTCGGATGTTGGGAAAATGTTAATGGCTGGGAGTAGCACATGTCAAGCTGAATAAATCCATTGCTCTCCATTCTGAAACACAATGGCACATGAATGACTAAGCAATTCTGATAACAATTCAATAGATAACCGTCAGCTTGCTTTGATTAAACATTACTTCTGGAGCTGTTTCAGGGCAGCAAAAGACACATCAGCCTGTCTGTCTCACTCCAGTCCTCCCAGCAACCCAGCCAGGGCAGAGACACTTGTTTCACAATAACGATAACTGATTTTTTCCCAAAGCAGTTGGAATTCTTGTAACATCTGACCTAAGTCTAGATTTATGCAAGCACAGCTGGGGGGAAAAAAAAGCAGCAAAATAGCTCCTCTCTATTTTAAGATCTCAGTTTCACCGTCACTTCTCCCTTGCTACATCACAGTTCTCCCTTAGCACAGTAATAACACAGTCCACTCTGGAGATACAGGTGGAACCGAGCCATGTAATTACCACATTTCCACATATATTCTTCTCTATTTGCAGTACTGAAATAACTCTCCCCTAGCACAGGGTTAGTCAAGACAAACAGTTCAATTTAGGAATGTGGCTAAAAAATGCAGCCAGGCTTTTATACAGTGCAGGTCTCACCCATTTTTTAAATTATGTCCATATCCGTGCTGTAGGCTGGTAACTTTAAAATTATAACTAGTCCTTTCATTTTTGCAGATAACATTTACATGATCGGCTTTTCCCAATCTGAGCCCTCTGCCTTGCCAACCCCCACATCAGTTTTGAATGCTGAAAGGAATAACTTCAGAGGCACACACGGGCCTCTACCCTTATCGTCACTCAGTTGTGAAACGAGCTGCTCAGCACTGCATCCATAATGGGGACTGCAGTGCAGATGGCAAAAGCACAGCCCCAGCTCATGCTCTGCCTCCCCAACAGACGTGTCTAATGCAAGCAGAACAGCTCCAAGAAGTGTCACACAATGGGCAGTGAGGAGGGGAAGAGAGGCTGTTACTCCTGAAGTGTTTTCACCTTTGTATCTATAGAAGAGGCTATCTGGGGTCACAATAACATGGAGTGATGTCTGGAAGATGCACAGCAGAATGAGGATTTCACCCCGTGGTCAATGCCAGGCTGTGTTTCAGTGATGCTTATTCCTTTGTAGTTGAGAGAACACAAGGAGAAAAGAAAGCAAGAATCTTCTACACCTCTGCCCTGCTGATCTTTTGCTCATTAAGAAGGAAAATCATCCCTTGCAAACATCCACATCCACCACTAGGTCCAGGGAACTCACTGATGCGCTTGACCATAGTCTAGAGCAATGAGTGATAACATCATTTATCTAATTTCACTCTCAAGAAAGCCTTTTGGCTGCTTTCCTTTCTCCTGGGCTGAGAATGAGCATGTGGAAGCAATCTGCCCTTGTACACACACAATCCGCATCTACAAGAGTCCATGGAGTCTGCACTACTTGGGTTATTGTGAACTGAGGCTATTTCTTTAGATATGGTGACTGGCAGATGCTGTGTCCTACAGGCAGAGGACTCAGAGGAGACACCTATACTGAGTACACACAAAAAGATTCATAGGGATTATGTCTGCACATTTGTGTGTAGGTGAATATACACATACATACACGCACAGCAAGTACCTAGGAGACAGAAGAGTCTTGCTTGC